TTCCTATAGAGTTTGATTTTACCTACTTTTATTTCCCTCTCCCCTGTGATTCAGAATTTGATCTCTTGATACATAGTTACAACTTTTTAGACAGGATACTTGACGAGAGCTTGGGCGCATTCCTTACAGAACTTTTATTTAATATCTCTGTGGCAATACATATATAAAGTATTTTTCTGCCCTTGATTAACATCTGATTTTTTTTTTCTTTTTTTTTTTCTGTCATGCATTGACACTTTCTATTACTATCTTCACCAGATATATTTTATCCAGTCAGTTTGTAACACACTTCTACTGCTCTCATATATAGTAGTGTAATACATAGCAGAGCTCTAGTCTATTTTAAGACAGCATTTTGGATTGGCTTCACCCAATAGTTGTGTTAGGGTATTACGCTAATTTAGCTCATACTAGAGATAGGATCACATTTTTTTATATCTTTGTTTTTCTTATGTATTTCTATTTATTTACTGGGGGTTAGGTTGTTTATTCGTCATAATTTTCTATTATCACCAGGTAGCACACTCTCTTTTATTTTGGTACTGTGTGTTTTGTTTTTAGAAGCTATTACCCTGCTAATTAAAAAAATATATCTGTGTATTATGTTTTTGGAAGTATTCATCATATTTGCTGTTTAAATCTGATATAATATAATCTGATAAAACCACTTCTTCAGGTGGAGAATTCCATATCCTTTTGTTTTTATTGTAAATATACATTTCCTTTTCCTTAGACTAAAACGCTTTTCTAACAGTCTAAATGCATGACCGTGTGCCCTATGTATAATCCTGTTTATAAAATTATTTATATTGCCCACGGAACTTGTGTGCTCAGGGCTTGGTGACTGCCGTGACTGGAGTGATTGCGCTCAAATGGCACTAAAATGGGTCTCTCCTGGTGCTGTTGTTCCAGACAGGTCCAACCAGTAGCTGTTTCCTCTTCTCTCTGAGGTGCTGGGCTGTGAGGCGCATGGTCAGCCTTGAGATCTGGGGTCACGATCTGCATGCGAGCAGCGATGCTTTGTTTAGAAAGCATCAAATAGCTCATTCAGGCTGCTCTCAATACTCATCTTCCCACCACATGGATCAGAGGAGCATGGGGCGCCCGCCATTTCAGAGGTAACTTCGTAGGTGCCGCTCTCTTTTAGCGTGGCTGTGGAGCCTCTGGGGTGTAGTCTGGGATCACCTCCACTGATCCAGAGGGGGAGGAGGGCGGGGGGTCAGCAGTAGGATTCAGCATCAGTCCAGTATCTGGCGGGTCGGGAGAGTGGCCGCCTCTCTCGACCAGCACCAGCTGCAAAATTTGAGCCCCGGGGGGCATTAAACACGGCTAATTCTAAGACTAGATTAGGAGCTTGTTCCAGATGCGTCTAGCCACCATGCAGGTCAGGCCCCACCACCTTAATGCCTCTATTTATACATGTCAATACCTTACTGGCCTTAGCAACTGATGATTGACATTGAATATTGTTACCTATTTTGTTGTCTATAACAATTCCCATATCCTTCTTATATGTTGTTATCCCTAATTCACTACCATTTAGGGTGTAAATTGCTTTTTCATTCTTTACCCCAAAGTGCATAACTTTGCATTTTTCTACATTCAATTTCATCTGTCATTTGAGTTCCCAGTTCCCCAAGCTGTCTAAATCCCTCTGAAGCAAAGCAATATCCTGCTTACGTTGTATTACTTTACATAGTTTTGTGTAATTTGCAAACTCAAAACATGACTTTCAATGTCTATTTCATGATCATTTATAAATATGTTAAATAAAATGGTCCCAGGAGATAGCCCTGGGAGACAGAACTTACCAATTTTGTCCAGTTTGAAACTTTACCATTGATGACAACTCTCTGTATTCTATCTTTAAGCCTATGCTGTACCCAGGAACAAGAATTTTCATGTAGACCAATTTCTTTTTGTTTGAATGCTAACCTATTTTGAGGAATTGTATCAAATGCCTTGGCTAAATCAAAGTAGATTACTTCGATGGCAACACCCTGATCTATACTTCTACTTACTTCTTTATAGAGTTAAATTTACCT